GACAAGAGCAAACACAACGGAACCAATCGCCGATGAAGGGTGGTCCAGCCGATGTTTGTCTTCTTGATCCTCCTTCACCCCCGCTTCACGGGGATGCTGAGGAATCGCGCGGAAGAGCCTAAACGTCGCGTACATCCGCGACCAATCGAACCGAACCAAGCCGGAAGAAACAAAGTACCCGGCACCCGACGAGCGATTAGATCGCTCCGGTCTCTTTTCGCGCAGTTACGAATTAACAATCGTCAAGAACTCGCGCGCGCGAAAGCGCCCCACGTGCCGCGTACACAGTACCATCTTGCTCCGTATATTTAAGTTTTTTCTCTTGAGACCCGAAGAGAGTAAAAGAAGTCCGGGGTTCAATCCAGTAATAATTAAATATAAATTAAATATAAAAATTTATATCGCATGTATACGAATGAGATTCGGATTCAAACAATGCGATAATGGACAATATAAAAATGTAATTTTTGTAAATAATATTTTTTGTTCACAATCGACAATTATCCCGCTGTTGCTTTTACGTATGATCTATCTGTCAGTTTTCAACATCAATTTCAATAATTGACATCGGCGTTGTAGCAATCTCGATAAAAAAATTGCAAATCGTGATAGTCAATTATTCGTGTGATTTTGAAACAATCTTCGAAACACATTAATAAAAAATAAACAGTGTACGAGTAAAAAAATAATGTAACACAAAAGAGTGCTTTTCTCCCTCAAAAAAAAAAAGATACACATGTGAGATACATATCAATGCGGACGGCGGAATAAAAAAAAAAAAAAAAAAAAGGGACAGTGAGAATCGATTTGAATTCGCTTTGCACGCGACACTATGCTCCGCGGCAAGAACAAGAACAGATCGGAGAACAGCGAGAGCAACGAGGGAACGGACGGCAAACAGCGTAGACCGAAATGCGCCCGTTGTAGGAATCACGGCCTGATCTCCTGGCTGCGCGGCCACAAACGAGAGTGTCATTATCGGGAATGTCTGTGTCCGAAGTGTTCGCTAATTGCCGAACGGCAGCGAGTGATGGCCGCACAGGTGAGAGCCGCAAATCTTCTATTTAAAATTTGTAATAGTCTTAACACCGCATTTTCTTTTTTTTTTTCTCTCTCTCTCTCTCTCTTTTTTATGTAAATCCTCGTATTTTACAAACGCAATAATTTTACAGTAGCGCGACTCATTTTACGTGACAGATAATCGGATTATCATTCGCACGCTGATTCGAAATACCTAATCAAAAATGCAATATTTACAGGACACACAGGGTAAATGTCACGCGCGCTTTTTTTCACATCAACATTAATTTAATACACGCGAGTTTATCTTTTGCTCTTTGACCGTTACATGGAGAAAATGTGAAAGAAAAATGTCAATTGGCTGCGCGCGTGGTTGAGCATGATTAATGCGCTTGCGATATGTTTTTATTTCGCGCTTTTATTCACCTCTCGGTATTTAAACGAACGCTCGATTGGAGCTTGTTGTCGCCGTTTATCCTCTTCTGATGAAGGAAGGCGCGCGACAACAAAGTTTCTCCCCCTCTCTCTCTTTGTCTCTATTTTTTTTTTTTTTTTTATAAAAATAAGGATCAAAAAACTACGCTGCAATTAAATCACTCATTTATCGAAGACACCGCGTCGCGAAACAACGTGAAGAAAACAGAAAGAAAGTGTACAAACACGCCTGATAGTTTGTTTTAATATTCCTACAAATCACACGAAGTTTCCCCAGCAATGCGATCGGGTGTAAGTTTTTTTTATATTGTATTACACACTTTTTATACACCAAACAAAGAGAGTAAAAGTGATTAATTTAATTCTAACGGTAACGTGTAAAATGGTATTGTGAAATTTTTTTTACGTTCTCCGTTTTCTTCCGAACGGTCATCGAATAATGCGCGCACAATATTGCGCAATACTTTAATTGGACAAAACAAAAAAACGTGATGCCGTTTCGGGACTGCGCTTTTCTTTGTGGTTCCGATAAAGTGCGAAATGAATCAAACGATCGAAACGAGATCGTCATCACAGTCACTCGACTGCGGGGGGCAATGTGGTCATCATCAGCCTCGTGTTACGCCTAATGCATATTCGGTGCGATAGAGTATAACGCCCCTCTCCCGATCAGTTCTCTCGAAGAGGAAGACGGTAACACAACAGGGGTGAGATAAATTAAATCCATTAACGCTCGGTGTAGCGTTTCATTTCTGTTTGCATAGGCATTATGACACTCGATACTTTGTTTGCGGCGACTTTCGATGCGGCGATGAGCGCGCGCGGGCGATGTTAACGCTCGCGCACGTATTTATCCCGGACGTATCTTGGAACAAAAATAGTCGAAACAGAAACTCCGGCGCGATCGTGCGATCAAATAAAAACCACACGCTCGAATTCATACGGCAATGTAATCGGGTGCATCGTCGCGAGCAGCATTCTCTGCGCGCGTCGCGCGGCTTTGTCGCGGAAACTTCTGCGCGGTCGAGCAAAAATTCGCGTAATCCGCGGTGATTAACAAAGAGCTCTTGGGCGGTATCACTCACGGAAGTATCGCCGGGATTATCGGCACGCGGCTTGCGACACGACCACGCTTTTAGGTAATTACTAAATATCGGTAAAATTTACGGTGATAAAAAAAAAAGAAAAATTCTTTGTTCTCTTCAAAGAATTTGTTTCTCTTTCCAAATCTTTTTTGTTTTGATAAAAAACATTCGTGGGAATGTTGTGTATAAACAAATTCTTTTTGTTTGTTTTTTTTTTTTTTTAAATAAAAAACATACCAAAAATTTTATTATATCTGTTCTATATTTGTATATTAAATTACGTAAAATAAACTTGTCGTTTTATTTTTATTCCTGGTATTTAAGTTACATCTATTGTTTTAAAAATATCCGTACTATTGGGGGCGAAAAAAAAAAAAAAAATTTATATTTGTGTGTGATACATCGGGAAGCATTTCTGCGAGCAAGACTTTGTAGCGAATGCTATTGTAGCAAAAGTCAAAAAGGGAACACGTGGGGCGATATATTGACCCGTGTCGAGTGAAATCGGATAGTTATCGCTTTCGGGTGATCGAACGAGATTGAAGAGAAAATGGGATGAGGAAATGGTCGGCCGGTAGAATACTCTGTCTCAGCATCAGCGATGTAAAAGATTGTTGCGGGTGGTCCGGCCTGGAATAACAGTCGCGGCAAATGTATGCGCCCATATACATAAGCGACAGGTCCATTTATAAGTCGAGCGCAGTCATGATCCATCACGATTCGATTGCCGCGCGTTATATGTATGGAAACTCTTTTTATATGCGACATATGTGTGTCTTTCGCCATATTAATTATAGCAATAGAAACCGCAAATCGATAATCGAAGGACCGTATTTTTATCACTCGCACGTGATTTCGTTGTTTTGCTCATTCGACTTCATTATCAAGAAAGAGAAAACTTCTTGACGAAACAGTAATTTTTATTACGCATTTTTTATTTAACAATTTGTCTTTTACCGTGCACAATTGTATATTTTTTAAGAGAAATAATTTTGACTCTAAAAAAATACGTATTGGAAGGACTAAACAATTTACTTCAAAACAATTTACTTATTGTAAGGGAGAGATTAAAATTCTGTTTTTTGATTAAAAAAAACAAAAAGGTTGCTCTGAAAAGACAACAGGCGGCTGAGGACGCCATCGCCCTTAAAATGGCGAAGGTAGCGACCGGACAGAAGTTCGACCGACTTCCTCCCGGAAAGATTTTCGGGATGTCCGTGACGGAACCGAAATCGACGGCGGAGCAGACCGAGGATGCGAAAAAGATCGACGGGATCTCGGAGGACTTGCGGAAAGATCTTCCGCACACGACCGTCAACAGCATTTTGCCTGCTCGTCTTCAAAACTGTTCTGTACGAGACAGTTCTGTTATGTATAAAATAAAAAAAAAGAGAAATTAAAAAAAATACACTATTTTTTAATAATATTTTAATATAAATATATATATTTTTAATATTAAAAAGTACATTTATCTCATAACAAAAAACAATCTTCATATTCTTTATTCCCACTCTCAGGACAGTTCGGATAGTTGTTCAAGATCCAGAAGTCTTCTGTTCGACGCGAATAAGATGGACACTTCCAAGGAACTCGCTCCGGTCTCGCAAACTTCCGTGGAAACCCTAGCTCGTCTCTTTCCGAACACGAAGCTGTCGGTTCTGCAACTGGTGTTACAACGTTGCGGCCAGGATCTGTTGAAGGCGATCGAGTACTTCGCGAGCGACAGTCTGGGTATCGTCGAGCCGACGCTGTCGACCAGCATCGGTCACACATCGGCCTCGGCCTTTCGGCCGCCGCAAACGGTCGCCGACAACGCCGTCGGAGAGCAACAGTCGCAACAGCAGCAACCGGTTTCCGGCACAATGTTGGCACCGATCTACACCAGCTTGTCCAGAAACGTCTACGGGGACGCGGGCTACTATCTGCTGAACATCGTGCCGACCGAGCAATTCGCCAAAGGTGCCGATCTGTCATTAGCAAAAACCGCGACCGATCAGGAGGCCATCGCTCTAAATTTCCGTTACAATAATTATTTCAACCCCGGTGTGCAGCAGCAACTGAGGGATGCGCACGTGTGCGCTCAGGTGGCGGCAGATCGGCTGTCGGCCGCCAGATCGGCGGGCATTCTTCATCATCTGCCGCCCGCGGTGTTACCGAGCATACCGTGCGTGCAACCGAATTGCGCGCAATGTAACTACAAGTTTTCGTGAACGGCTTCTTCGAAACGTATACGTACAGCTAACTGCGCAAGTACTTGTCTCCGGAAGAGATAAATTGAAAATAATATAAAACAAGGTAATATCTTAAATTATATATATTAATCGTAATATAACAAGTTGAACGTTAGTTGTAAATCTGGAAAAAAAAACAATGTGACTTGAGTATCCAATTATTATTATAATTAAAATACAATCGGAAATACGTTAGAAATTTTTTATCACGTTAGAAGATCATCATCGCTGGAGATGAAAAAATGAAGAGAAAATCTCTCTCTTTCTCTCTCTCTCTCTCTTTCTCTCTCTCTCTCACTCTCCGCACTTAAATATACAAAATTTATCTTCTTTTCATATTGCAGTTACATTGTTACGATTTTATGTATATTAATATATATGTATATATCATATAAACATACGTATTTTAATCTGAGCTTCAATGTTGAAAACAAAGAAGAGAGACGGTAGTTTATTCAAGTATAAGAAAAACACACGATGATAATTGAAAAGAAACGCACGCCGCCGATTGTCCAATCGCCTCTCTTCTTTTTGCGAAGACGCTACTACAGTTACATATGTACGTACATACATACTCGGAGAATCGCGGCTGAGATACGATCGAGAGGTAAATCCGTCGTATTTGTCGAAGTAATAGGGCGGCGGTAATCTAGTTAGAAATATTCGATCCGGTACTACCTCCGTATGTACAAACGGCACAACGGAGGGGGAGGTCAATCGTACGCGCCGCGAGCGATTTACTTTGGCTTTTAGTTTTAGGAGCAGAGAAAACACGGGGTGGGCGAACACGAAAAGACGGAGATTTCGTGCCGCATCCTCAATCTCCCCCGTTGGGGATCATCGCGTCCTTTTTCCCCCGCCCCCGGGAGGATTCTCGCGACGCTCGCATCTCGAATTACAAAGCAGGCGCGAAAAAGAAACTCAACACCGTCTATCGACCGTCGTCGAAAATGTAATTCCTCGCCTCCCCCGAGAAATCGGAGGCAACTCTTTATCGCGGTTTACAGTTTCTTGTTTCTTTTTCTCTCTCTTTTTTTCTTTTCTAGCAGTAGCTTTTTTTTTTTTTATATTCGAGACCTTCCGTACCGTACCGGGAATAAAAGTTCCATATTTAGTGCTAATTTTTATAAAAGCGATTTCAAAAATAACAAAATTTTAATAATAAATCTCCGTCGCGACGAGAGATACACCTCCGTAGACTAAATTTGACCGCGCACACGCGCGATAATTAATCGATCATTCTAGAAATAACTAACATTCCTACGCAACGTCGAGCTAATTTCTATAAAAATTTCTATTTTGCGAAACGACTCGCGTGAAAAAAACAAGTTAAGTGCACAAAAAAATTAAAATTTATTCGCGTAGAGTTTGTCTCGCTCTTCACTGACGTCAACGTCGTGCGTAGACTCAGGATAGATCGATTATCGAATTGCCACCAAGGATCATCGCAAGCAACACATGTTCATGCGCTGAAATAAATCTTGTGTGTCTTATGTTGTGTCTCTGAATGTTTTATTAATTATTCGTTATAATAGGCACATCAGTTCGCTTGAATTGTAATCGATATTATGAAAGATTTATTCGTCACATGTTGAATACGCGCTGAATCATGAATAATAAATCTCAGGATAAAGCGGCGGACGAGTTAGCCGGCTGTAAACAATAAAAAGAGAAAACAAAGATTCGCTACTAAATTATTACAGTCTAAAAAATCTATTAAGTTTGACAAAACAGATGGTCTTTTTCTCTGTTAAGTAATAATTGTCATTACTGCCGGATGCGACGTCCCTCTTCGTAATTTAAAAGCGCGTCGATTAAACTCAACGCGATTTTTTTTTTTTCTGTTGGTATTGACAATATTCATTTTTGCACAATGAAATTGCAGATACATACATATACATATTATATATACATAGATAGTGTATAGCTATCCTTAAACCATATGTACAACTCGCTCTCATTCTTTCATTTTCTCTCGCTCTCACACGTTCGTTTTTTTTTTTTTTTTATTTTTTTTTTTTATGAAAATATCTAGAAAATTAGTTACACACTTGGAACACATACGTGTCAGTTCGTATTGTGTGAGAACTTTAGAAACGAAGATGCGGCTTGTTCTTGATCATATGCCTGCAAAGAAAAACGAAATTTATTCTTAGAAACATTGATATGTAATATATAAATTGTGTAATTAAACCAAGAATATTATATAAACAATGAGATTTATTAGAGGAAATAGAATTAAATTTTAAAATTAATAAGCAGATAATTGAATATAATCTCAATTGAAGGAAAAAACAAACAGAATTATATTATACAAAACGTTGTGTATAAATCTGATAAAGCAATTAAAGTGACAAGACGCTTACTTATCCAAGTGTTCCCAGAATATCATTAACGCCGCTCTGTCTAAATGCCTCTTTGTTCGGCTAAGCTCGATCACCGTGACCGCCCAACGTGCCACGTTTGCATCCAACCTCATCTCGTCGTACTTTAAGTGAAACGCACAAACTGCAAAGAAAAAAAAAAAAAGAACGATCTTAAATTCGAAATATATCAGATCGCAAAGTACAAAGTTTATAAAGTAAATAAATTTTTCGTTGTTAAGAAAAATTGAAAGAGTGACTGAAATGATTGAAAAAAAAAAAGAAAAAATGTACTTTTCGAAAAAATCTCCACCGGGTTGCCATCGAATGGCCAGCCTTTGAATTGCCACGCTGGTCCCATGACGAACACGGCGACGACTCTCTCCCAATCGGCGTTTGTCAGTTTCTGCGGATTATCGACCACCCGATAAGGTACAGTTAGGCCGCCTTCCTTCCGACGTTGAAGAAGCACTTCGTTCTCTCGCTTGCAGCCCTGCGCCCGTTTCTCCTCATTGCTGATGTACTTCAAATCTTGTAGAATATCTTTTGCATTGTACATTGTAATGAGAGATGTGTTGGCACTGGGAATAATGATGATGGGCGTCCGGCTGGGTCGCTTGTTTTGTGCCGCTTGCTGAGGCGTCAACTTAGCGGCGGAAGTCGGCAGCAGGCCGGAAGTCGGCGCGGCGGACGGATTGACGGGTGGTTTTCTCACAGCTGGATTTGTTCCCTCGGTCACGGATTTTAGCGTCATGCCGTGATATGTGCCCATGGTATCAATCTTGAAGCCTTCGGTTTCCTCCCGTTGTCGGATGAAACGTTCCTGATCGTAACGATTATAAACTGCCGGTTGCGGTAATGGACGTATGGGCGTCGATCGTGGCGTCACCATAGGAGTAGGCGCGGCAGGACCTTTCTGCCGACCTTCTTCGCGCGCTTTGATACTCTGCAAGATCGCGAATATGTTCTTGGCGAAGATTTTGCCGCTACTTTGCAAGATAGTGGCGCGCGTTCGCCATTGACGCTCACGCGACACTATGTCCTTCGTGTCGTCTACATCCATGTCGAGAATCACGCGCAGATCAGAGCCCATCCCGATATCGTCGTTCTCCTTGATGGTGGTGCGTTTTTTCGCCAGACGTTTTGCTTTGATAGCGGCGATTTTTTCCACCGACATCGCTTCCGAGAGCGACTTGATGTTGTCGACGGTAACAGAAGCTTCCTTAGGTGCGTCCAGACGTGCCGCCAGTTGCTCTTTCACCTTCTGCACGTGGGTCTCTTCAAAGCGAGGTTTTTTCGACGAACCGCTGTCCAGGCCATCCTCGGCCGCGCGTTTTACTTGCGTTGGGATTTCCAATGGTGCAGACTTGTCTATGGCGGCTGACGTGGCAGTTTCGCCATTGAGATAAGCCAGCAAGTCTTTTCTGTCAGGCCGGCGTACCACGGGAATGTTCTCCGCCGCCGCTTGTCGCACATATACCGGATGTGTGAGCTGAACATGTTTGAGCAAGAAGAGGAGGCACTCGAGTGTGTAATATTCCTTAGGTGTACCTTCCTTTCCCGATCTAAGATAAAAGAAACAGAAAGAGACATGTTTTCAGAGAGAAAATAAAAGTTATGTTATTATCAAACCTTCATATCTCTTTTTACACAAAATACGCAATTTAAAACCTTCGCATAGACTTATATGTTTGAGCACACATTACCTTTTGCCTATTAAGAAATATTAAAATACATTCAAGTATGATACACAGATTGGTTCTAATTTTTTAATACAAATAAGAAGACAGAGACATACACACAAAAAAGAAACACTATTATCGTATTTTAATTTTAGAAACACACTTTGAATTAGTTTAAACAGATATTCAAATAAAAGAAAAACGATTTAAAAGACTGTCTTGAATGAGAGACACCGTTTTCAGAAAATAAATTTGAGAACTGGTTTCAAAAATTACAAGAAATTAAAAAAAGAAGCAAAAAAAGAAACACATTTCGTTTTCAGATTCATTCTTTCACACACTTTAATAACTTGAGAAAACACTTTGCCACTTTGCAAAAGAAACACATTGCAAAAAAAAAAAACGCATAAATCTTAATGAAACATATTTCTAAGAAAATTTTTTTCCAGCGCTCCGTCTTCTCATTTGTCTCATCGTCGTTTCGACGCCAATTATCGCAACGAACATTTATTATTTCATTCAATTTTGCATATTGTTTATCTCCTCGTCTCTCGTCATTTTTTTTCTCGCACATTTTCCTTGATTTTTTCTCTTTAAAGATGGAAGCAGATTGTCGTTGAGCGAAAACAACCAATTTTTTTCATCAAGCAAGTCGGACGAGCACTCACCCGTAAGTTAGATAATTGGTTTTCACATTCTTCGGCCAGGAAAACTCGCCGAATATAATCTGATTCTCGCGTTCGATTATCTCTTTTTTATTGACGTTGTACTGCCGCAGCAGACTCAACGGATCCGCCATGATTGCGAACTGATGTATTCCAATTTGCGGCAAGTATACGTATAAAAACTTCAGAGCTTTCGTGAGAGATCGTAAAACTCGACGTGTTCTTTCTGTTGTCAGTACTGGAATGACCACGTGATCTTTTGGGACGACAAAGCGCGAACTTCAGCAACTTCGATAAACCAGATCGTCATCATCATCATTTCTCAGAGAACGCACTGTCGATAAAATTGAATTTACATTAAATTAATTTAATCGATCGAAACGTCGCGCGAGAACAATTGACTCGTTCGTTCTGCGTTCTGATAAAAAAACGAAATACAAGAACGGAATAATCGTGATGTAAAAAGATTTGTAACTGTTGAATCGAAATCGAAAGAATTTGAGATTTACCGACGCCGGTTAAGCTAATCGGTCGGTTAAGCGTCGATCTTATAATTGGTCGATTCTGCCAAACGAGTAATGCGATTGGTCGATTCCAAATAAAATAATCGACCGGTTCAGATAACCAAAGGTAAACCGATTCTGATTGGTGACACTGACGTCGTCATGCACATGAAACTAACTTCTGTACACTATATAATAACAAAATATCGTCAGAAATATTTATTATAATTATTTTACTTGTATTTATAATATACAATTGTTATATATAATTTATGTTGTTCAAATTGTGCGCCCTATATCGGAGTAGAAACGTCGCGTTCTCAAATCGAGAGAGCGATATGTCGCTGTCACGATTGACAGTTGCTGATGAGTTTCGGAACGTTGGTCACATTGCGTGTCATATGACCGACGTTACGCGAGAATTGATGTTCTGTAGGCGTTGACTTGACTTCTCGTCGGTGCACCTCGTGATCTCTCAGTTCCTGACAGCTCCTCGAAGATCTTTTGACGAATTTCTCATCGTAAATTTCATCGAGGAAAAACACACGGAGACACCATGGCACTCAGCGACGCCGACGTTCAGAAGCAGGTTGATAAAGAAACTTTACTGTATTCTTCCAAAATTTTCCAACACCACTTGTAACAAGTGTTCGCACACATATTCTTGCACTATTAATAACTTTACGATTATTTATTATTATGTTCCGTTGCTGTCACTTCGTCAAATAATTGGTTTCACATTTGTTCTGGCATTATAAATATTACATTTCATTTTTGTAACTTGGAAATTTTTAATTTGAATAAAGTGAACTGAACAGAGCAAGAGAGTTTGCCTACAATGAGTTTGAGTATATTTTTGTCAATAAGTTTTTTATTTTTATACATATGTATGTATTTTGACTCGAAAATTGTTAGATGTTTATGTGGAAAAAGATTTTTGAGTGAAGACAAAGATGGACAGAATTTGTATGTAATTGTATGTTACGTATATTTGTTAGCGCAGAAAATAAAAGATTTAAAGGTATTGGAACTCAGAGAAACAATTCAAAAAAGGTTGAAAATTATAACAAATCTTTATAGAAAGAATTATATATTGCAGATCAAGCATATGATGGCTTTTATAGAGCAAGAGGCTAATGAAAAAGCAGAGGAAATAGATGCAAAAGCTGAAGAGGAATTTAATATTGAAAAAGGACGTCTGGTACAACAGCAGCGTCTAAAGATTATGGAATATTATGAGAAAAAAGAGAAACAGGTTGAACTGCAAAAGAAGATGTATGTATAAAAACATATCTTAATATGTATGATAAAAAATATTATAATACTGTTATGTAAGACATGGATGTATATTGCGTGTTTTACTAATCTATTGTTTCTAAAAAATTGTTGATTAATTTGTTAAAACAGCTTTGAAAATATTATATAAATATATATTATATAATTTATTGTATTTCACAGACAATCTTCCAACATGCTTAATCAGGCTCGATTAAAAGCTTTAAAAGTGCGTGAGGACCATGTCCGTAATGTTCTTGATGAAGCTAGAAAGAGATTAGGTGAAGTAACTCGTGATACAGGACGATATAAAGAAATTCTTCACTTGTTAATCATTCAGGGACTTTATCAAGTAATGTTTCTATTTTATTATTTAAAATTATCTATTATTATATATATGTGTAGAATTATTATTACTGTTATAAATCTTTGTAATTTATCTAAAGAAGAAAAACGTTTGATATCTTGTTTTTTTAATAATATATGTGTGTATATACATATATAATTGTTTTTACAGCTAACAGAAAGTAACGTTACACTTCGTGTTCGTCAAGTGGACTTAGCTATTGTAGAATCTATTCTGAGCGGTGTCCAACAAACATACAAGCAGAAGACTAAGAAGGATGTTACTCTGAAAATCGACTCCGATAATTTCTTGCCTGGCGAAAGTTGCGGAGGTGTGGAATTATTAGCAGCCAGAGGTAACTATTATCAAAAAATGTCGTTTATAATAATAACGAAATTTTATTGATTTTGTAAATATATAAGATATCTAACACATAAACTTATTTAAAATCTAACAGTATCTAACATAATTATATACATATTATACTATATTACTTACCGTTTTAATCATATAATATATATATAATATGAAGTAATTTGTGTATTTTGTTGTTTCACAGGACGCATAAAGATTAGCAATACTTTGGAGACTAGATTAGAGCTGATAGCGCAACAATTGATACCCGAGATTCGTTCTGCTTTATTCGGAAGCAATCCGAACCGCAAATTTAACGATTAAGCTATCTTTTTTTTTTTTTTCAGCCGAATTTGACTTTCCAAAACATTCCCTCTTTACGGCAGATTGCTATCGCGTTATCAATGTATCGTGTAGAATACAATTAGCAATTCCGACAATATTTTTTGTGGCTCACGCCTAATATTTTCGATGAAAGTATCCGATGGATTGTTATGCAATATTTATCATTGAAAGAAAAAAGTCGTGAATATTGTACATTATTCTCTTCAAAGATACTCTATTCCGTCATTTTACCTGTTTCCTCTATTCTATGATAAATAATATATATATATAAAATCACACGCCTATTTACACACACACAAACACATATGTATAATATATACAAACATAAAATGTATATCTATACAAAATATTTCACATGTTGAAATATATTTGATATCATCTGTCGACTGTTAAAATTCCTGTTGAAATCAGTGTTCATAAATAAAAACAAAGTGTACTTCCTCTCGGAGCTGGTTAGGAATGTTGAAACGCATAAAAAATGTATCTTAATGATAATAGTTAATGTTTTTGGCTGCTTTATATTAAAACACATATATATATAGCGATCACGAGACGAAATTTGTAGTGCAATCGATATTGTTGTGCAGAATCGTACAAAAATTTAGCTATCGAGAGTACGCTTTATACGTATATAAGTATGTGTGACATATATGTGTTTATATACTTATAGAGCATATCAAGAATGTTATGTACAGTATGTATAAAATAATGAGATGTATCAATATAGAAATATATTCACATTGTTGTTGTAAACGTATGAAAACTCTTTTTAGTTCTTTACGAAAAAATTAATAATCTCGGAGTAATACGAATACAGGTAATTTAAAGACTGTGCAGATCGGGGAGGAACAAAATTGTTACACATAAAATTTGTGTGTAATCATCGCATGTATATATTGTAACATTTTATTGTATAATTTCGTGATTTTTTTTTATATGCTTGAAATTTATTTTCCTGAGATTATTCCATCATAAGTTACATTACAAATTGGCATATCATACATTTGGCAAATTATAAAAACCTTATGCGACTAAATTCAAGGTACATTATATTGATCCTTATTTTTTTAAAACAAGTATTAACCTTTTGCATAGTTACTTTAGACGAAGTTTTGATCGTCAAAAGCAGACACTGCTAAAAAGGTAAGACATACAATTTTCAGAAATTTTACAAATAGTTACACAAGTAAAAATAATTTAATTGAAAAATGACAATATATGTACAAACGAACATGAGCAAACAGTGTCAAAGATGTATAAAAAAAACTTAATTATTATCATTTTGGTTTGTTATGTAGAGATGTGAAGATCAATGCAGGCTTCTCCCTCGATATCCAACGATTCCGGAGTATCGTTAGAATTAATTTGTTCTCCGTCGAAGTAAAACTTCAAAGTGTTCTCCTTTATTCCGAGCTGTTCAGCGCATTTCGTGAATAAGAATTTAAACTGTTGATCCCTCCTAAGTGAGATGGTCAACGACTGTTTCTTGCTTGATGTTTGTATCTTGATGTTACATACATTGTCATCTTTAGTAATCTTATCTTCGGTAAGCGTGTTCATGCCTGGATTTATTATACCACCGTCTGCAATTACGAAGAAATATTATTGCATCACACCGTTTTTTTATATTGTTGCTCTTGCAAATTGATGCCTTGCGTATACCAACCGAGTATGTCTACAACGGTAAGTTTGAGCGAAGCAGGAGTGTCGGTACGATTAATACTTTTATCGTTTTTCATAATTAAGATTTCATTTTCAGAAACGTTTTCCAGATTGGCGTAGTGCTGAAAAATCTGTTGAAAACTATCATGCTGTAATAAAAACAATTCAAACATATATGATTATTATTAAATAACTTATAGTTCACGTAAATATGTATTGAAGTAATTATTATTTTAAATATACGTCGTGTATTAAAATAAAGTGACGAGCATTACTCTGCGTAATTTTAAACGATCCAGTCTATTCGATCTCCAGTGCACTTTTATATATATCTCATAATTATCGTCTTCACTGAGAGCACCATCATCACCTTCATTATCATCATTATCTGATAATGCGATTACATCTTGAGGAAACTGAGGAATTGGTTTGTTGGCCGCATCATCAATCAGAACGATTTCCGTTCCATTGTACTGTACATCATTCGCAGGCGAATGCTGAAGCATCGATAGTAAAGATTGCATTTGTTATTTTGCTGATTAAATATTGATACATAAATAAATATAAAATTATAAAATATAACATAACCAAGAGATTATATATACACACACACTCAACACACAAATATATATGATATATAAAAAAATATAAAAAAATATTTAAAAAAATTACCCTTTCTCTAACTCTCCTAACGACAGCATTGTTATTTTTTTTCTTTCGTTTATTTCGCCTATTTCTTACCATCCTAGTTCTGCTTCGTGTTTGAATACCATACTCGAGCATATCATCTTCGCTATCGTATAACTCTATTTCATTATTATCATGTATTTCATTATTATCATGTATTTCATTATTATCATACAGTTTATTAATATCTATGTTTTCATTATTTGTTTCTGTGCTATTTATTTCCTTATCCGTATTTATTTGCTCATCAATTCTGAAAAGAAAAAACATAATTATAACTGTAAATATAATTATTAGTACGATATTAAGATATATATACATCTATACACCTAATTTTGAAGTAATACATACTTAGGAGAAAGTCTTTCTTGAATGGGAACTTCCTCTATTAAACGTTGTTTTTTTAATGCTATGAAAATAAGAATTATTACTTATTACATTTTTTGTCTGATAACTTACAAACAACTCTTATATATTAATTTATGAATGCTGCATATTTTATTTGATGTCATTATTTTTAACAATTTTTAGATGCATTTTTCTGCCATTTTTAGATCCATTTTTCTGCCATTTTTTAAACCAAGAATCTTTGATCACTTATGGCTTGTGAATACATATCCGGATTTAGCTCATATATGAGAAATATATACAACAAAAGCATTACTTGAGCAAAAAGAAAATCTGTTAATATTATTACCTCTTAAGCGACCAGCAAAATTTGTATATAAATCATCTTCAGAGTCATCTGAAGAAGTATCTATTGTGATTTTATCTAACATTTTCCGCTTCTCCATTTAAACAGTTTAACATGCAACTTTGTGTATCCTGAAATAAATAAACTCACACACATTGTATACACTATCTCCATAAATATAAATTTTACACATTTGTTTATAAGACAATAAAACATTTGTACACAGAGAAATTATGGTTGTGTTATTATTTATTACACATTGCTTGTAAGAACTTAAAAGATTGTCAAATTTTATGTGTGTCAACATAATATCTAGATGTAAAATATCAATAATTTATTTCACTTCTTCTGTCATTATTTAACAATAATATTAAAACAAGAGCCAAATAATAAATGTTTTATACAAAGTTTAATACTCACCTTATTGGTTTTCTTAATTAATTTAAATCACTTTTTAATCACATTTAATTACTTTTCCATTAGAGTATGGGAAAAAAGTGCAAAGTAATATCAAATCTAAACTGCAACTTGAGTTCTGTGCATGTAAAAAAATGTAACAAAACAGTTCTCAGTTGTATACAAGACATGCGGCAAAGCTTGCAACCATACAAAGTAAAAATGCCAGTTTCACAAATTCCTTTTGATTCATCGATCGATTGAACGTCAATCGTGGTTGGTCAATTTCGGCTGATCGATCAATGCGATTTGTCACTTCCAACGGAATAATCAATCGATTAAGTTGAGCGAAGTTGGTGAAACTGGTTCTGGCTTTCTTGTTCTCTGATCAGCTGATCCGGCGAGCAGACGAGCATGTTCAATGAAAAGTGGTAACGCGCGTACGCTAGGTGGTTCTGATTAAAATTTGGCGCAAAGTTTCAAAACACGCAATTTGGTTTTTTCTTATATATGTATATATTTATTTCCTAATGTAAGATCTGTTTTTGTAATGCAAAGGAAAACTTCATGAACCGACGTATACAACGCACGTTATTAATCTTATGTGTAATCTTATATTTGTCTTATATTTAATCTTATATGTATAATTTTATATTTGTCTTATATTTAATCTTATATTAATCTTATATTTGTTTACGAACAGAATAAAGGTAGCTCGGGGTATACAAATATATAAAGATATATATATATATATATCTCTTGTACTTGACAGCCGACTACTTATAAGCTGTGTTTGAAAATTTACCGCCAATATTAAATATCTATAATTCACGTTACGTATATTATACAGTATCAGTACTGGCAATAAATTTTGAAACAGCCTTGCTGTGCACGTGCGAAGAAATGGCAGGTTACGTTGAGAATTACGAAGACTGTTCGTTTGATTACAACGAAGATAAGCAGAAAGGCGTTTGTCTGATAAAGGAAGAGTACGTAGATATATTGTAAAATTTATATTAGTATTTCAGGTGAGACTGACTTTAATACTGACATAAAAGTACAAATGTTTATCCGCTTTCTAACCTATGAGATTCGCTTGTACACATGGAGAAGAAGTGCCAGTTTGGAAAGAGTGTGTCGGTGTGTGTGCTCTCGTAAAAATCGACAGTTGAAGAACACATTGATAATAATAATAAAATAAAAAGCTGTATGTGATTATAGAGAAGAGTGTGTACATGTTCTTGTGTAAAGTGAAAAACAAAGTTCTTTTATAAGATCAAATTAGTCAGGGTCAAAAAACTTAGGTGGGCTAAAGGCACAATAAATACTGCGTTAAACCACTTGTTAAACATACTACCTGTGAACTACATTTATTTTTTTAAAGTTTACATCTTTTTATTTTAATTGTTTAATCTAATTATCTCTGAATCATGTACGCGCGTTAAGATTTTCACAAATCTAATTTCTCTTTAAATTTTTATGTATTTTCAAAAGAAAGATTTTTTAGCTGATAATATTAATTTATATGTGTAAAACTAAAAGATATACAATTTTTTTATACTACATTTTTAGATAATATTTCTCTCTTTTTTGATATAAAACATTTTATTGATTTATTATTGTATAATTAAATTATTTATTATTTATATACTTATTTATGAACTTCTATTGATATACTTATTATTTTATAATGTAAAATATATTTAATACTTAATAATATTAAAGTAAAAAAACAGCTTAATAAATTATTAAATAATTTGAGCAGATATTATTAGATCATATTTAATACTATTAGATTTATTATTGTAGATTTATTACTGTAGATTTATTATTGTAGATTTATTATTGAGGATCATGTGAGGAATCTGAAGGAACAATATTTGACAGATACTGATAAGCAGAACATATCTGTTGATGGAAATGCAGAGAATGCAGATGATGATGTACAAGATGAGCAACCTGCTAAGAAACTCAAACTGGACGACAAGAAAGAAAAACTCAGAGGCCAGAATAAAGCTAGGCCACCTCCATTTAAGGCTTCCAAAGAGTTAAGTCTATGTCCATGGATTGCAGAACTAACAGCAGACGAGCCTGAGAGAAAATGTTCGAATCAACGGTGTACATTTCTGCACGATCGAAAAGAATATTTAAAGATCAGACTAGAGGACATAGGTACAGATTGCCGTATTTACAATTTAACTGGCAAGTGTTCCAGAGGTGTCACTTGCAGGATGGGTTCTAAACATATAACTGAGGACGGCTTTAATATTGTCGACAAGAAGAAATTCGAAGAATATAAAAAACACTCTCCAGCCATAAAAAATAACTTGTCCAAGGATCTGCAAAACAAATTGCGCAAACGCATGTACAATTTTTCTCAAGCAGAGGCAATCGTCAAAGGAAATCATCCGTCTAAGAAAAAGAAGAGTCCAGAAAATAAAATTAAAAATGGGCAATCAGACACTACGATCGCAGAATCTACTAATATTTCCGACAATAGCAATGGCGAGAAAGTAGAGAAAGATATTTCTGGCAACGGCAATGAGGAGGAAATAAACGCTACTGACTGTGATGTTTCGCATGAATCAGAAGAACCGAAAATCGGTCCCGTAGACGACAGCGATTTGATCAGATTGCGACAGTCGGAAAAGAAAAAGATCGACTGGAAAGACAAAATACTGTTGAGCCCATTGACGACAGTTGGCAATTTGCCGTTTCGAAGAATCTGCAAGGAATACGGCGCCGACATTACTTGCGGCGAGATGGCATTGGCGCCGAAAATACTCAAGGGTGCGCAAGAGGAGTGGGCATTAGTAAAAAGACATGAGAGCGAGGACATCTTCGGCGTGCAGCTCTGCGGGAATAATCCCGGAGTGCTGACACGTTGTGCTCAACTGCTCAATCGTGAAATCGATGTGGATTACATCGATCTGAACCTCGGTTGTCCAATCGACCTGATATATAGACAAGGAGGCGGCAGCGGTATGCTCAATCGCTTGAACGTACTCGAGACTGTGGTAAAGTCAGTTAGTCAAGTGTTGGACATACCCTTATCAGTAAAAACTAGAACGGGGGTCTACCTAGACAAACCAATCGCGCATAATTTAATGCCGAAGTTTCGCGACTGGGGTGTGTCCATGATTACTGTGAGTAAGTCCGTTGACTTTACGTTCCTTATGTTGCTTATCGTGTATCACGGTCTTGAAATATCAATTTTGAAAAATCTGCAAAATCATTTTTCAAGAGCAGAGCGAATTTTCTTCAACATATTCTAATATTAAACACGTCTCAGACTCTTATTTGAATTCTTTCTCTGTAGTATACAGAGTTAGAAAAATCTAAAAAAAAAAAAAACAATCTTTTTTAAGAAATTAGCTTGTTATCTTTTAAGGTTTGCTAATAATCAATAGTAATGTTTTCAGGTTCATGGCAGATCCCGTGAGCAAAGATACACGAAGCTAGCTGATTGGGAATATATAGAAAAATGCGCGGTGGCAGCGCAGCCCGTACCTGTATTTGGAAACGGCGATATTCTCTCTTTTGACGACTATCAGCGAGTGAAGCAAATATATAGCACGGTACAAAGTATCACAATTGGTCGCGGAGCTTTGATCAAACCGTGGATCTTCACTGAAATCAAAGAAAAAAAGTTGATCGATATATCGAGCTCGGAGAGATTCGACATACTCAGGAAGTACACGAATTACGGACTCGAGCACTGGGGATCCGATACTCGCGGTGTCGAAACTACGAGAAGATTCATGTTGGAGTGGATCTCTTTCCTTCATAGGTAAAAACATGCTTTGAAAAAATTTATATGTTCTGTTTGTGTTATATTTTAAGCTCTCATTTAAACGTCGAAACATGTTGCAGATATATTCCAGTTGGAATTTTGGAGAGACCACCGCAAAGAATCAATGAAAGACCACCGTTCTACAGAGGTCGCGATGACATGGAGACATTAATGGCCAGTTCTAACTGCGCTGATTGGGTGAAATTATCGTAAGACGACGCTTAAGGCGATTTATTAATTTCCACACTGCGCAATATGTTGAACTCTAATTATTGTTTTCTCTATTTCAGTGAAATGTTACTTGGAAAAGTACCTGATGGATTCCACTTCTTGCCAAAGCACAAGGCAAATTCGTGGAAGTAACTTGTTACGAGGAAAAAGATTTTTATAGGAAATAGAAATTTTCTAAGTCGATTTTCTTGTACAATGCAATAAAATTAGTTAAAGAAAGAATCGTGTCGGGTTAATGCTGGAAATGTTTATTACATTTCGCTCTTATTGCTTGTATAAATACAGCAAATAAATATTTTTAAGAGAAAAAGATTGTTAATCATTCTTAGAAAATGTATATCCAACTTTACTTTCGCTGCGTATAGCAAAAGTTCAAATTGTATTATTCGCAAATTTGCTTAATGTAATGATTAATAATGATCAAATATATTTCCGAGAGTAGACGGCCACATGCAGTCACAACCACTGGCGACGTCTTTTGTATGTAGTTCCCAGCAATTGTTGGTGGACGTCCAAGGTCGCCTGACAAAGACCATGGTTTGAGTTTTCTGCACGCAGTGAAATCCCGGATTAACACATTTCTGAAAGACATTAATGAGATTATTACAATATTTTAATATTTAGATATTAAAGCCAAACTTATATAGATTTTAAAAATTAAATTTCATTAAACTTAAATCGACTTTTAATCCATTTTTTTTAAATGCAATTTAAGTATTTATTTTGCAATACTTTTTTTTTTTTTAATTATATCTTAATCACTAAATAACTTGATTTTAGTACGACATACGTCCATATATTAGGTTGAGTCATAAATAAGTTCCGATTCAGAGCCAATAATCTTATATTTTAAGATAAGTCACTGCAATTCTAATGATTTTTACATTTACCCTTATTATCAGTAACTTCGAATTATCTCAGGAAAGATAAATTGTTGCTTGAATGGGAACTGACTTATTGACTTTAGTGACTCTAGAGAGCTCTAACAAATCGGTTCATATTTCCAATGTTTGTTTTTTAAGCATATACATTTCAGGTTTCAAGTCATTGTGCTGGTAAAGTGCAATACTGGTAATATGCAATATTTACGGGGAGGCCCGCTATATAGAATTTCGCCGTTCATCCGATATATATATATATATATATACATATATACAGTCTCTGTAATCGGCGGAAAAAGACCAGAAAAAAAAGGTCCTAAGATATTAGGTTGATTCAAGCTCGAGACCTTTGGGTTCACCTTGCGCTAAATTCGCGAGACCAACGAGCCGATCGCTGAATCGGAACTTACATGTGAATCAATCTGATACATCACAAGTGTGTGTGTTTTACCTGTTGTTCTTGTTTGTTGTCACTTTCGTAAATGTTCTTGCAAAAAGTTTCAACATAAAACGGCGGTTGATACTCGTACACGTCATCTTTCCATTCCATCAGTTTCTTTTCTATCTTACAAAGATGTTGATACTTCTGTATAAATTGCGACAGAAGAGAAATGACAATATTATAGACATTTTGTGTCTCTCGAACTGAGAGAGACGTTAATTAACATATTTTAAATCGAGGAATTTAAAAACAAAAAATAGAAATAAATGTGCAAAACATTATAAACGCACTGATCGATAAAGAGAATTCATTATGTGGATTTATATTTCTCAAAAACAAAAACAACAAATCGCTGAAATTAGTTTCCGAAAGTAACACATAATTTACGAACGTCCGACTCCCCGTTGCGTCTGATCAGCTGCCTTAGCTCGTTCGAATTTCCCACGTCGTAAGCTTCGTCTGATATATAAGAGACTTCTCTTCCCACCGGTATGTCATGTAAGATCTGACGATTGTACAGCTCAGGTTTAAAGAGATCTTTAAATTGAGTGAAATTTAATTGTCTGCTCGCCACGTAAGATGCTTGATCGAGAATAAGGAATTCGGCGATCTGTAAAATCAAAACGAAATATAAAATGTCTTTATTATAAAATTACAAAAAACAAGTCAAACGTCTTTTTGCAACGGTCCTCTTTCTCTTTTTTCTCGAATAAAACTATAAATAAGAGATTTTTTGTGCAAAAATAATCGAAAAAATAATTAATCCGAACACCGAATCGTTAAATCGCTCTTATCGCGTTGCGTCAATTATCGCTGATACGCAAAGCCTAAAACCTTCGATGGAGGTCTCAGTCAGCAGCCTTTAGCGACCTATCAAAACTGATGATGCGTAAATCGCGCCCGGAGAGGGTCCGTTCTGCAAGTGGGAACGTGGAGGTGGATGAATCATTCGTTTAGAACAACTGCAACTGGCGAAACGGTTTCACGCTGTCTGTCATATCGATGCGTGAAACACGATCTACATCATTTCTCCCGTGAAAATCCTTTTTCTTCTTTATGCAGAACTGAGATATTTTCTCTTCTCTCTTTGACGTAATACAATAATGTTCAATTTTATCGAGATAGACGGGACACATCGTTATTTTACGAAGAAAAATAATTTTTCACGCAAAACATTTTTTTCGTGCACAATTTTGAATGAATATTTTACGTAATGATTCAAATTGCAATTTTTTATATAAAGTGTATTGTATTTTTTCCATGTTGTAATAAATTAGTTTGAAAATTATTGATTGACCAAAATCTCGATATTTGTAAAATAAAATAAAATATTTGACTACGTTGCAAGAGTGTGACAGTTTCGAGTGCGCGAATTAAAGATCATTCGTGCGAATTGCGAAAAGTTTAGTATATTTATCTAAAGTGCGCGTTGAGAAAAGATTGAAGTAAATTCGTCAAGAAGAAGTCAACACACTTCGTTTGAAAGGAATCGAAGAAATTCGTTCGCGAATTTTTTTGATCAATAAGAATGACATTCTCGCGAGGATCGGTATTAGTCCGTTCGCAAGGTCGGCTCTGATTGAGCTGACGCGCTATATGTGTCGTATGATGCAAATTATTCTTCCACGCGTCATCAAGTTAATCCACTGATGCTGTCGAAGTGACGACAGAATTTACGCACGAGATAATACTCTCTTCCAGTTACGAGGGGGGGTGTTGTTTTCCCGGATTCGAAATAACGTCAGAGCCAATAAGTGTCAATAAATGTCAAGAGTAATAATCAGAACGACGAATCGACGCGATTTAAACAACATCATTGTCTCAATTTATCTCGCGCGAATTGGACTTGGTTTCTTGAAACTAAAAAAAAACAAAAAAACAAAGAACGAACTAAAATTAACAAAAAATGACAAAACTTTCGATGTCACAACTCTTCCGGCTAGATTTTAGAACGTGAGTCTTTTTTTTACTACTGTACAATTTCCAAAAGTTGTGAATAATCTAAAAAAATTACGAATTTGAAAAAAATCGCGAAAAAGAAAAAAGAAAGTCCTGATCCTCGGAAGAAAACCATCACGATATTCACGAAACTTGAGGAAGGAAGATTAGATATAAAGTGATCCACAGAAGGTAGGAGAGCGTGGATACTACGTGCTTTCAGCATCAACGATCCGCTGCATTACACACACGCGACAACACTATGTGGCTATATGTGGGGTAGGTAGTTATCCAATTGACAGTGCCCCCGTCTGACATACATAGTTCAGTCACGACGCGGCGGACACAGGATGATCCTACGTCTTCGCTGAATACACAGCGACGACGGACAGTCGTCGGTGATCGGTTTCGGAAGAGACCGACGTATCACTTCGCGTATTTCTATGAAAGTTTCACGCGCGTCGCGATAAGTAAAACAAAAAAGAGATACGAGGATTGACCGTCTATTGTTGGTGAAAACTGAACGTTGAGAAATTGTGACACGATGTCAATCCGACGAGCGTTCGAACGAAGGAGCGATCAGTGTTTTAACTCGCAGAGAGTGAGAACGAGCTTGGCCAAGGTTGACAATTGTCAGTGACAATAATTCAGTTAGAACTGAAAGAAATTCTGCGGCCGGTTTTGTCGTTTATTATCGTGATTGTTGAATTTTGAACGAAAAGAAGATACGAAGAAAGGAAGAAAATCGACGAGGGAGAGAGAGAGAGAGAGAAGTATAGTCATCGCGAGTGTGCGAGTCGCAATAATTCTCTTCAGCGCGTTCCGTTGAGAAATGCCATCGAGCTGATGCTCAATGCTATGGCAGCCGATCTCTACGCGAACGGTTCTATAAAGTCAACGTCCACCAGGTGAGACCAGATAAGACATCAATGAGACGTCAGATACGCATATATATAGTTTTTAGCGTAATCTCTATCGTTACGAAATACTTCTGTTCCACAGAAGTTTTTTTCTGAAATAACAGAGAATATTAGTTCAACAGTTGTTTTTTTTTTACGTAAGTCTCGAAAAAACATCAATACATTTTGACACGTTGTAAGATTTCAAAATTCTTTTTCGTGAGAAAATTAAAAAAAAAAAAAAGTTATACGATGGCAGTTCGAATTTTCATCTAAAAGAATTTTACTTCCCGAATCGATCTTTTCTGTGCGTCTGTTTTATTTTGTTTATTGTTAAACCGAAACTGCTCAATGTCAACGTGACATATGAGAATCAGATTGTTACATTCAGCGCTAAACGTCGTCGTCCGATTCTACGCTTTATTTGCCTAATATGACGACCGCGTTCAATGTCAATGCGACGTAGAAATCAGACAAAATACATTACGGTTCTAGTTTCTACTGTGAGATACAAAATGTGTGTACATCTTGAAACCACGAGTAAAAATTACAAAGTAACAAACAGCAAGACGCGTGTGAAACGTTAAATGAAATTTGCTCTGGGGTTTGATGCGAAAACTTGATGATACGATTTTAATCAAATCGCATTTTTGCGTGTTTAAAATTGATAAAAGAGACAATCGGAGAGAGAAAGAGAGCTACAATTATTATAATACGATATATCAGAGAGAGAGAAAACTGTTCGACGAACGCGCGTACGCGCACGTGTGGTTCACGTGTGTCTTTTGTTAAATATAATTCGGTGGTGTTGTATATACGACACGATAACCCCGCGGTAATCTTGTAACGTATATGGTGGCTCATGTGTCCGACGACAACATCAAATGCACAGCTGTACAGAATCGAATAACCGCTGATGTTGCATCGTCTGGACTGATTTCATCACGTATATAATCTAATACACTTTCACGAGTATAAACAAACATGATAACCGGTTTTATTGTGCTTCAAAGAGATATTTCTCGGTGATGTAAGGTAAATCGAAGAAAAAGATAAAAACACAACGTGTCGGTGTTAACTACGATGCTTGTACGGCTTTTTCAATCAGAAGCAAAATTAAAAGCGTAAAACGTTTTATTACGTTTTTTTTTTTTTTTTTGCTAGCGATTAAGCAATCTATTTATAACAGAAGAAATGTTCGTTTCAAAATGAAACTCACGAGACCAATGAAGAATCAAATGATCGAAGATGAGTTTATTTCCGGATAAACGCAACGGTTTTTTACACATAATTTCAATGACAATGAAATCATTTAATAGCCGCTACGGCTCTTTGAGTTAATAAGCAATTGACCCTCGGTTTACCGGCCGAGTAAAGGTTTCATTGATGAAGAGCCGCGTTATTAAGCGGATTCATCTTGCTTCGTCTCTCTCGCAAACGAGAGCGAAACTTGAAATCTCGACTCTTGAAAAATCTTGTACAAATCTGTACAAATTGTCGCACAGCTCCAATTAATGTCCAATTAATTGCATTTCTGTTTAGATTGTTCATTTTCGCTTCAAACTCTGGAGCAAGTTTATTTAAAACCAATAGAACGAAGATGCAACTATTAATCGACACACTAACGAATGAATGAGCTGTAAAAGTTTAGACTTCTGAAAAATATTAAGCAAATTTTCAAAACTCATTCAGTTTTTTTCCCAGTGTAAATATAAATATAAATCGCAGAAGCGAGAATAAATCAATATCATAAAATTAGTATCAGTAAATAAACTGGGTGCAGTCAAGCAGAATAAATCACACGTTATCTCATTCACATAATTTACACAAAAATGATCACCAACGGTTCAGAGTGAAATAGAAGAAATTTAAGTTTAACGAAAGAGCGGATCTCGTATTTGAAGAATAATAAATTCTTTTTTTTTCTTTTTCTTTTTCAAAAGAGAGAAAAGAGAAGAGAGAAAGAAAGAAAAAGAGAGAGAGAAGAGCACGTGGTTCTTCATCATTTAATCCATTTACTCTTCAAACATGTGACCGATTAGTCATCAGTATTAAAGTTCACAATATGTTTCAGAACTAGCGTATTGAATTATGACGTCAGATGTTTAAATCATACGTAACATACCTATACCGAAACCTAAATTGTATTTTACAAACAACTTAATTTACTTAAATTGACTGAGAAGAATTTGGTTTTCTTTTTCGCGTATCAAGGAACTGTCATCAAGGTCATTTTGAATTAATAACGTCAGATGTTTAAATATCGTACATATACATACCTATAGCGCGAAACCTAAATTGTATTTTACAAACAACTTAATTTAAACTTAAATTGACTAAAGAACTTGCTTTTTTTTCGCGTATCAAGGAACTGTCGTCAAGGTCACGATGACCCGTATTCTAGTCAACAAATTGAAGCGCAGCGCGATATTACAATAGTCATAATTTCCCTACCGACACATGCGGCACATTTGTTTGTTCAATTGTGAGCAGTGACTAACATCGATGCAAATGTCAATTCAATAAATACGCAAAGAAATTTCGCGGAGCGACAACAATCCATTTAATTCGCACGGAAAAACTACATTAAAATTATAACTCGGATTATTGTCGTTATTAAATATATTTGTCGATTTTAGTTTTGTCGCGGAGAATTAATGTGAATATGTGATTTCAATAGAGTCAATTAGAGATTCGGATTGTGTCTCTCTTTCTCGCAACTTCGAAATCGAGACAAAAATCGCAAATCAAAGCCGAAAGCGCCGAATGCAAAGAGACGAATAAACTAAAGTAAATAAACGGGACGGTCGGTGTTCCGTCGCGTGAGGCGACATGAGGGCGGAGGAAATGATGGAATGATGAAAATTTGAAGAGTATATTGTGTCCGCCGCGCGCGCGCGCGCGCATAAACTGAACGTAGGCAGCAGATGACGCGGCGACACACGATCGCCGGTCAGAAACATATTAAATTAAATTCGTTGTTCTAGACGGACGACGAATTAAACTTTTAACCCAAATATTTCAGTAGACTGCCGACGGACGAAGAACGAGATGGTAAACAGTGTTATTGAGTTGTCTAGAACCGAGAGAGAGAGAGAGAGAGAGAGAGAGGAGAGAGAGGAGGTGGAGAGAAGGGAAGTCTCTCTATGTCCGCGTTCAGTTTGTACAGTAGAACAGTAATTGCAAAACAATTCAAAATAATATTAAAAAAAAAAAAAACAAAACAAAAAAAACAAAATTAATCAAACAATAAAACAGATGCGAGAGTAGTTTTTGCTATGTAAGAAAATATATTTTGGAATAAGAAGTTAATTTTTACTGCAAAGTCTCTAAATAAAACGAGGCCGGACGTGTTAATGACTACGTGCTAAAATAAAGTTTACTATGACGATACTTTTAAAGTCGTCACAGATGCCATTTTTGCGCGCACGAGTTCCTCATGTTTGAAGAGATAATTAGACCATTAAAGGTTTGGAGCAGGACCATTATAGACCTGTTAATCGTAATCAGGTGGCGCAGAGAGGAAAAAAAGATCTCTCGTTGATGGGATTTGCAAGCAGCAGATGATGATGTCACACGTCGCGTAATAATCGAATTATTTCGAACGCAGACTCTAAGATTAAATTCATGATTTTTGCTCGGCGCTAATAAAAATTATTTACGACGCTTCTCGTACGTGATAGCACATTTGCAACTACGTAATGCGAGACTACGTATAAATATTTTATGAAGAACAAACGCAAATCAGTTGTGAAGCGAAGAAGAAATTGGACCAACCGTCAATTTACATACCGATGATTTATTACGTCTCTGGAGTCTTACACGATTCTTGCGTCTTTGCAGTTTGAATTCGCGCGTTTCTCAGAGATCAAATGCGTTTCTTTCTGCGATGAGTAAGATAAGAATCGTCAAAAGGGAGCAGGACCATTGCATCAATCCATCGGATTATTTTTAGCTAACGTGATAGGGTCTACCCCCTTCGAAGCGGCTAAAAATAGCCAGTAAGGCCAATCCAGACCCAATTATCCCATCTAGATATTTAGGTGACAATCGACTGACCGCCAATTTAGAAATATTCCACACGCTCGAGGCTCTCAGGGCCTTCAGCTCGATAATTCCTCGTGTCTCAGGCTCCGTTTAAGACCCTTTTGCTCTCTGCAAAATTGATGTGTCTCTGACAAATTGATGTGTTGCAAATCTAATCATATATTCCTGTAACTGTATCAAGTTAAAAACTAAAAAAGCTAAAGAATACGCATCTTCGATTTCAAAACATGAGCTTTGTAAAAACTTCCCCTTGATTCGAGCAGTTTTTTTTCGATCTTGTGATTGTGAAGAATTGATTGGAGCTGTAAGAATTTCTCTTGATCCTTCTGACTAGAGTACATTTCATCATCTGGGAGCTATAGCTCTTTTTTACATAAACACGGAACGCAATATAATCCAGGTGACACAAGTTTTGAGTAAACGTGATTCGCGTATCCCCAGTGTTGAACCAGATCACTTACAAGCAAATCAAGTTCTTCAATCACATGAGCGTCTCCGTTGATATGCAACCCGTTTGACGAACACGCGTGTCCGTTTGCAGGTCCGTAGGCAGCATGGGGCAACGCAAATCGGGCACGTTGGGCGCCGCGGCGCCTGTATCGACGGAGGAGGAGCAGCTGAAGTTCCAAGACAGTAGATTTCTGACGACTTTGGTGCTCGGCAGAAGTAGGTGAGTGACCGGGTACATGTTACTGACTGATTTGTGCGCACATAGCTGCTCGATCCGCGTCAGAAGTCGTGGCACGTGATCAGTTCCACGCGACCCACTTCTAGACCGTTCGAGACCCCTGGGTATTAGATCGCGCGAGAGTATCGCGCAAAATTAAGTGCGACTCTTTCATCTAATCTTTCTCAATTGCGACGAGAGAAATAATTAAGTAGCACGAGCGTCGCAGCGTAAATCGTCTGCTACTCGCGATTTTCATTATTTCGTGTGTGGCTCGAAATTATATTTGGCAAACTTTAAAATTATCCAAGGTGAGCGAAAACGACATAAGTACTGCGTTGTTGTGTAAATATTAAATAACAACAATTACGTGTTGAGACGGAGTGACCTCCGGTTCGAATTCCAAATGAAGCGTTAAATAAGACGGTTAACGCGAACTTGTTGCTGATTGATGACAATAATTAATTTTAATTAATCTTCGTTCAATTTTTTTCATATTTTATTTCTTTGATTTTGTGTCTGTGCTTAAAAATTGTGAATTTGCATTTTATTGTGACTTTTATTAAAAATTACTGCTTTACACTTCTTTTTTATTCTCACAATGTGTGTAACAACTGAAGAGGACTTGAATAAAAAAAATCGAAATTGTCTTGTTTTTTAACAATTTGTTGCACCTAATTATTGCCAAAACATCAGCAATAATTTGTAGACCCCGTCTTCTTTGAAGTTTTATTTAAATATTAAATAATCACTGAGAGAAAGAAAGAGCAAGAGGACAGATTCGAGATGAAATAAAAGATTTTATATATTAGATAACTCGAACGCGCTATTACGCTATATCACACGCTCACTGTTACCGTATACAACTAACGCGTATAAGATTTGATTGAATTTTATTAATTACCAAATTATATTAAAAGTAAAATAAATAATTAAAACAATTATTGTCGTGACTTACTGTTAGAAAAATCAATTTTCGAAACATGGTTGAACGATCCGATGTACGAGGTGGCGATTTAAAAAACCGTGCAAGTTACGCAACAATAAAATACGTACAATTGAACTCGAACCGAAAACAATCGGCACTTATATAGAAATGTGAGGGAAACTATGCGTACATCGGAAAGGTCATCATAAAATCTCCGTGTAAATATGCAAAGCTGAGATAGTGTCCGTGGGCAGCAGCTTAATTGAATTTCACACTCGAGTGTTATAACAATCGCGAATCGTTAATCGTGAATTGCATTGATTAGGCGATTCGTCGTATTGATACGATAAATGTGGGAGATTGTACATGACTTTGTAGAGATAAACCATCGCAGATTGCAGAGGGAGATAATGCTTGTAAATATACAGAGAGAAAAAGAGATGGATAGAAAAAAAAAAAAAAACTAATAAAAAACATTAAATTAGTAAATTATAAATTAATAAATTAGGTGTGTTGCAAAATAGATTTGTTAAAAAATTGGAACTTTGTTTTAACACGTTTAAAACAAAGACGCCCTTGCAGAAATTTATTATTGGTCAAATTAACACTCTTATTCATAATAAAAAAATAATAACAGGACTGTTCAACAGTAATTTTAATCCTTCTCGCCTGCAGAGCCCTCAAAAATGACTTACACGTGAGACTGGGTCTGTGAGACCCACGCGACTTTAAAAAAACGAATATATCTCCGCGAAAAATTAATTTTTTTTCAATTTGCGAGTCAAAAGTTTGAACGATTCTGCGTCGATCAAAAAAACAAATTGAAAAAATCTTTAAGTTTCGAAGATATAAACGTTAAAAAAAAAAAAATCAAATTTTTACTAGAAACGCCGATGCGCAAGTTTTGAGTGAATCTGGGAAATTATTTTTTGGCTACACCACTAAAATAGTTTTGTAAAGATTGTTTAAATTGCTTTACGATGGTTTCAAATACAAAGAACTACGCTTGAGAGAGTACTGGATACCGACTATAAAAATCTATAGACCATAGAATCTATAAACTATAGAAATCTGTAAAATCGACGTTTTAGAAACCTAAATTTCTCTAATTTCTAATTGTGTGTACCGCATCACATGAAAAATGCTTAGTTTAATTTGCTTATTTTTGAAGAAGCATTTTGGATTGGATGCAGTAAATAAAATCAACTATTAAAACGTCGAGATTTACAAGTCTCTAGTCGGGTATCCAATAGACTCTTGAGAACTAGGAAACGCTAGAAAAGAACACAGGTGCATTTGGGATTTTACATTTATTTTTGAAAAAGAACATACCTGTGCAATTTCTCTAATTTCGAAACACTCGGAACTTCCGAGTCGGAAGTCGAAAGTTTCTCTGACTCTGGCGTATTTTCTCATAGTGCGTGCGAGAGCCAAACAACGCGACAGCAGTTTAAACGATTCGAAGAACAAACGCGACGACGAGATATTTTTTGTTCAATAATAATTCATAATTGTGTTCAATGTAATATAATAATTAGACGCCGCCCACCCACATATCGGCACGATAGAAAATCGTGATAGATGGTCCTACGATTAATTTGTTGTGCATGCGGGTTGATCAGGCCGCGTGACTCGTGATCGCCTTGTTTCTCTGAGAAACACATCAATCGTTTCAATGAATCGAGACGCGAGCTAGTTATCGATATAGAAACGCGCGTTCATTTTGACGGGACTTACATTTCTTAATAGGGAACTTGATAAATTATATATATACATATATATATATATATATACATATATGTATATATAGATGTACACATCTCCGTCTCGTAACCCTGAAGTTCTTATATCGGATTCAAGTGACTCGTGTCGAACCAATCTTACTCGAGAGATATAAATCGTTTTTTACGTTTTTTTCTCTCCGTTTTTATCACAAAAAAAAAAAAAAAGATTTGTTTCACTCTCTCGCGTACGAGAGAGAAACAGACGCGCACGTGATATAAAGCGTTTCGAAGAAACGAAATTATGAATTACTTTACCAGGTGACTATGCGCTACGTGAAAAATTCTAAAGCTGCAAAATCAAATCGGGCGCGCCGCGTATTTTTTTCACGCGCCCTAATTGTCGATCGTTAAGTACGGAGATCGCATGTGTTTTTTTTTTTTTTCAGGAAAATCTCGCCGGACGTGCTGCCGTCCTGCTCGCCCGGCGTGTTTCGTCAGAAGTCGTTTTGCTCGTCCACGCCGCCGAAAGCGGCGCATCCAGTACCTACGCTTGCCGCAGCAACATCGCCATCCCCGCGAAACGGACGGGGCGCACCTGCCGCGGTCGTTACGAACGATCGGTGCGACTCGGTCACCCCTACTGCCGCCATCGCCCCTGTCCCCGCCGCCGTTTCACCACGTGACAGCAGCAGTCTGCGGACCGCCGTCGGCGCTTCTCTGTCGTCGTTGTCACGGGGCGCTCGAGCGGCCGGTAAGCACGCGCGCCTCGGCCCGGCACTGGCCAGCAAAATGGCGTCCACGAGCACCTCTACGGTCGTGCAGGGCTGGCCGAATACCAAGGACGACTACGAGCTCAAGGAGGTTATAGGTGAGTAGATCCCGATCGCTGAACGTGCGTAAGATCTCGATCTTACGGCTCGAGCGCGCGAAGTCGCGGGCCGTCTCGATCGAGCGCGATCATCGGCTTCGCGAAGACGCGCCAACAAACCGGCGGCGACGTCGCCTCGACGATAAGCTTACGGCTGGTTAGAGTTCGTCCACCTCGCCGGAACACCGTTGTCGGGGTATTGATAATGACGACGATCCAACAGTCCGGTGTTGGCAAAGAATCACACACGATGTTTGTCGTTTCATGTGTACATAAGGCGGAACGTCGATCGAACGTCTTCGTCGAACGACGTTCGTCGTTCGTCACGACGTTTTTCTCAAACGACGGGACGACCGTTCTCGACGATCCCCGCTCGTTCCGTCTCGCTCCCCCTTTGCGCGTCTTTCTCGCACTCGCGCTGTCAACCCCAGGTGTTACTTCTGCACGAGAAGTATATCGCATCCTAACCTAGTTAACCTAGCCGGAGAGAAACCCGTGCGCGCGTGCCAGTGCTGTGGTACGCACTCGGTTCGCGAATGACAAAAAAGGGGGGACCGGAGTTGTGCGTACGCGATGCGATGATAAGTACTCGCGTACTTAATTGCCGTTATAACAAATGTCGCGCGAAAAGTAATTTTTAGAAGGCTTTACAAAGAACAACAATTTACATCGATATAATTCGCGAATCACAAATGAAAAAAAAAAAAAATTATGTTCTACAAAAGAGCTCGTTGGCTCGCATTCGTCTGATTGCAATTGATTTAATTAAGAGATATTGTGACTCTTTCGCGGACAAAAAGAAAGACATTCACTTTTAGAAAACAAGATTGTACATTGGAAGTGAGTTTACTCTGAGGAGGATTTGTGTATTTTTTTTTTTTTTTTATTGGACACAAGCTTCAATAGCTGGGACTGTGTCTGTGAAATCTTTTCACGGCAAAGTGTAATGTTAATTCATTGATCATCTTGAATCGCGCGCGCGTATTTATTTATTTATTATTGATTATTTGAATTTCGCGTCATCGTCAGTACGATGAACGCAATTTTCAGAGATATGTAAAAATAACACATTGCAGAAGAATAAATATTTATACAGTCTTGAAGTGTTTGAAGCGCGCGAGGAATGCTTGTTCTCTCCTGTCCTTCCTTTCGTACGCACAATTTCGCGCGGACTGTGCATCATGGTCTCAAAGAGTAGGTATTGGCTGTGTGCGAGTTTTGTTAGCGGAGCTAAATTATTTAGCGACGCGCCGATGTTTTAGACGATCCGTTTTTAGCCGCAATTGCCGACGACGTTGTCGTCGTTACAGCGAGATCCCACCGCGGTATATCGCGATGATAGTAAACTAAAACTCTCGATGCCCGTTCGTAAATAAAAAAGTCTCTCGAACACCGCTGATATTGGCGTTTCCACCAAGGAAAGAGTAAGACTCATTTTTTTTCGAAATTGAAGCAGCAGCTTTTCCAAGCAACTCACTCTCGCCTGGTTCAAAATGATTTTCTCTGCGTGTTTACATCATAGACTTAATTAATCTTTGAAATTTAATTTTGCTTATATATGAGAATTTTTTTAATATGAATTTTTATGTAGGTATCGAGCGATAATGCGAAATTTAATATAATCTTTTTTCGTTGAAATTTTTCCAAGGTGTCGGAGCGACAGCTGTGGTGCACGCGGCATTTTGCATTCCGCGACAAGAAAAATGCGCGATCAAGAGAATAAATTTAGAAAAATGGAACACAAATATGGACGAGCTATTGGTGAGTTTTATTGTAATCTTGACATTAAACTTGACATACTGACTGGTCAATATATGATATAGACAATATATGATATAAACGATAAGATTTTCACATATTGTGTGATTCATTGGATTAAGAATCTTATCAATTAAAATGTACGCTATATCGGCGCCATGACGTTTTTACATGATTATTAATACAATTTGTGTTTTTATTTGAACAAAAAATTTAATTTAAAAATATAGGTTTTTTTTACTACTGTTATTAATAATAAATTAATTTAAATAATTAAAATAAAGATTTTATAATAACGTAGATTTTTTTATTGTCTCTATAATTACATATTAACGTAAAAAAGTTAAAAGTTTATGTTAATATTATTTACATATAAAGACAAAATAAGGATGTTTGTTATTATATGTTATTATTGTAAATAAAAAAATTTATAGTAGATAAAGTCTGAGATTTGATGTATATCAAACAATCTTTTTAAATCCCATACATATAGAAAGAAATCCAAGCGATGTCTTCTTGCAACCACGAGAACGTTGTAACGTATTACACGTCGTTTGTGGTGAAAGAAGAGCTCTGGCTAGTTCTGAGATTACTGGAAGGTGGATCTTTATTGGATATTATCAAACATAAAACCAGGACGACCAATTGCAAACACGGAGTATTTGATGAAGCTACCATAGCGACGGTACTTCGAGAAGTTCTCAAGGGGCTCGAATATTTCCACAGTAATGGACAAATTCACAGGTAAATCTTGAGATTATGTTATTTCTCTTTGTTTTTCGGCACCTTTTATACTATTGAAAAAACGAAAGAAAATACTTCTTTCGTTTTTCTCTTTTTTTTTTTTGGAGTACTTATTCGCTATTTTTTAATATTTATCTACGTCGACGAATTTTAATGGCAATATAATATTAGGGACATAAAAGCCGGTAATATCCTACTAGGCGAAGATGGCACGGTTCAGATCGCTGATTTTGGTGTCAGCGCGTGGCTCGCAACCGGGCGCGACTTGAGCCGGCAGAAGGTCAGACACACCTTCGTCGGCACGCCCTGTTGGATGGCGCCCGAGGTCATGGAGCAGGTGAGAGAGGAAAGTAAAACTACAAATTTCTTAGCCTGCGTGTTCTCAGTGTCTACATTTGTATATGCATTTGTTCAGTGTACACGACACTTTATCGAGACGGAAAGTGTGTACGACTGTTGCCGGCTGTTGTACGCCTGGTACATATACGCTTTTTTTGCCATCGTTGAAATACGATACTCGAAGTTTGGTATGCATTAACGTCGGTTTTGCTGTAGCGTGCGCCACGCGGAAATGCTTTCATCACCCTATTAAGCTAAGAATTAATTTGAGTTAGCAATCATGTCGTTTGTTGAGCATGATACGATCTGCGTTAGGCATGTTATGCAAGTAGTCATAGAAAACTACGTTTAAGAAATATTACACACACAAACGAAAATCCTTGCAATATTATTATTATTATTGTTTTTTTAATCAGTACTTTTTATATCAGTACTTCATATTCCTGTACATATGTCCATTTCTTTGTTACTTTGTTAATTTTGTTGTTAATTAAATATATTCTGTAATTTAAGTTCTACTATAAGTAGTGTAGTAGACACATCTGTCAGTGTTACACTGTTCAGAAGCTTTTAAGCATCAGTGCAAAATGTTGCTTCGCAAAATAAAGTTCGAGAACCGCTGTGCCAAAGAAAATTGTAGTTCAATTTTGTAATCTCATACACATGTGCACAGTCTCATACATATATATATATATACATACATATCATTTCATATATACATATATACACATATATCACAGATTTCTGATAATTCATGCCATCCTGTGTATGAGATTGCAGCTATAAATCACAATTAGAAACTTTTGGCAAGCATGTAAATGCTTCGCACAAGCACGATTTTACGAAATATTGGCAATTTGTCGGTCGCTGTTTAGTATAAAATCAATTATGATATGCGTATCCGTTTGTGCAGGACCATGGCTATGATTTTAAAGCCGATATATGGTCACTTGGCATCACAGCGATTGAGATGGCCAGCGGCACGGCACCGTACCACAAATATCCTCCGATGAAGGTCTTGATGCTTACGCTACAAAATGATCCACCAACTCTGGATACTGCCGCGGACGACAAAGATCAGTACAAAGCGTATGGGAAAACATTCCGAAAAATGATCGTTGATTGTTTACAAAAAGATCCTACAAAAAGGTAAATCGAGTCATGATTGCTTTTGTTCATATTTGATTAAATATGCTGTTGTCGTGTGATCAAAAATAACAAATTTTAACAAAATAAAATAAATTTTTATATAAACATATAAAATTACGGTAACTAACTCGTTACTAAATTGTTACTAAATTGTAATAATAATATTTCTATTATTTCAGACCAACAGCCACCGAACTGTTGAAGCATCCCTTTTTCAAAAAAGCTAAAGATAAAAAATACTTACAGCAAACTTTAGTGGCTATCGGACCCAGTTTAGAAACGCGTGTCCAAAAGGTGTGTGTACACAAAAATTTATATCAGAAAGAAAACACTGTCGTCCTTTATGAGAAACGCTTGATATAAATTTTATTCTTCATTATTGATTGCGCTTTTTTTTTGTTACACAGGCTTCGAAAAGACAACCCGGTACATCAGGCCGTTTACATCGAACGGTGACCGGAGAATGGGTCTGGTCATCGGAAGAGGAAAGCGGCGGATCGAGCGGCGACGAAGGCGCTAAGGAAGCATTGCCAGTCAATACAATCGAGAAGGCCAGCAGCGACGAAGAGGGTGGCGAGCCTGACGAGTATTACGGACAGATCAAAGTGTCGCCAAGTCAGTCACAACTACAAACCACCGAGCAAAATGTTCCTATAAACTTGGTGCTTAGATTACGGTACGTAAAACCTCCGACTTCTCATTTTCAGTTTTTATTTATGTATTTTTTGTCTATTTAGTTTTTTTTGCATAAAATGTATATATTGTTTGCTACATTAATCCTTCTTCATTGAAGTCTGGGAATCTCCTGGCACTTTTTTTACCGTTGCAGTCGAGAACCTGGTATCTCCCAGCACAAATGTTTGCTTTGTGCGTGTTCTCCTAGCTATCTTATCGTGATGTTGACACATTTATATGCGTTTGGTTTGAAATGAAGTCATGTTTGAAATATAAACAACAAGTGAACCACAAACCCCTTTGAATTCTCCGACGGGACAGGGTTTGGTTTATATTAAAAAATTTATTTGTATTGTTGGAACGTTTGTTTTTTGCAGGAATGAGAGACGAGAACTTAATGACATTAGGTTTGAATTTACCGTTGGAGTGGATTCCGCGCAAGGAATCGCGGCGGAGTTAGTTGCTGCGGGTTTGGTGGACGGCAAGGATGTTGTAGTGATAGCGGCAAATCTGAAAAAGTTAATAGAGAGCGGGGGACAATTGCGCACAGTAACATTTTCCTTGGTAAATATTTGTGTTGCAATTCGTATTCCATTACAAATGATTCTACTACAAATATTGTTAATATTAAATATTCAACCGTTTAATGTACATGTGATCTTTTTTTTTTATTGTTTTTAGAACTCGGGTTATGCGGCAAATGAAGTACCGGATGACAAAGCGTTAATAGGATTTGCTCAGATCTCCCTCACCGATTAAAACAGCCTCTCGTTCACGTTTTCCGAAGGAAACAAGCTAATGTTATTGATACATTCACTTGTTAAGATCCGAAGTATCAAAAGCTAACGAAACTAGACTTTTCGAAATAAAGTATATGCAATTGAAAAGAAAAGTTTTTTACGTATGAGACACGCGTGCGTGTAAAGTCGATTTAACCGCTGAACGTTTAAGGATCAGTGAATCTTTAGCTTTTGATACTTTCTTATCGATTCGGACACAGTTGATTGGAAAAGGCGTAAAATATTCGAAACATATTGGTTATAACACATCAGTTGCAACGAACTGCTCAAATGTGTGTTTCATAACGTCATTAATATATGTTTCGTGTGTAAGGAAGCAATCGACAGGAGCAGATACATAAAAAAAAAAAAAAAAAAGATACTATCGTCTACATACTAGCTTATGTAAGAGTATAGACTTACTCTAATCAATAATGGCTGTAGTTTTACATAACCGAATTGTATCACTCATATCGCATCAATCCATGTAAATATTAGTATTTGATCGTTTGTTAAGTTTTTCTTTTTATTTTCTTCTTTATGATTGATTATGTACGTCGCGAGATAAAGACATAATGAAATGCAATCATTGTATAAATAAGCGACTTCAAAGGATCGAGAGAAGAGATGCTTGATAATATTTAACTTATTTGTCCAAAATTTATATATATATATTTATATACATATATAAATGTAAACAATTTCTCTTGATTAGCGAGGTTTTAGTTGCATAAAAAACAAAAACTCAAAAAAAAAAAAAAAAAAAAATGAAACGTGTTGCACAGAGTCTCATGTATCATATTAATATATACAGATCCGCGTATATCTTATATTATGCTTTATGCTAGGGAAAAAAGAACGATAGAAAATGAAATAAACAATCTTTTGTACTTAATTAAATAGACTTACGATAGCAAATTAATATTTTCACAGTTTCTAGCGCGCGCGCGCGAGAGAGAGAAAGAGAGAGAGACAAAAAGAGAAAGATAGTTGAAAAATTTTTACCTCATATCTTGAAACGTTTCAAATTAAATCACCTCTTTGTGTAAAATAGATAAAATCAGAATTACACATGAAAATGTCAAAACAATAGTCTGAAAAGCAATATGTACTTTGCGCTTTCACAGATAAAGTGTTCATCATTTCTACATTCTTATGTCTATGTGAAATCGTAAAGATATGTGTTTGCAACGTAGATATTTCTGATGAGAAAAAAATAACATCTACAAAAAAATGTATAATTTTGAAATAAAAAAAAAAAAAAAAGTTTTTTCCAAACTGTAGTTTGTCCAATAAAGTTTTTAAAATTGTATTTGTACTAATTAGAAACGAATAGCGGGGCTATTCTGTAACTTTTAACGTACGTGTTACAAGCATGCGTTCCGAGTCATTGCGCAGACAAATTTTAGCTGGGGCAACGCTATGTGTTAACAAAATTGTCGTAACTACAGAATGAAAAGTTATATAACAGCAGAAATGTGAAAGTTTCTTCAAAGATCAAATTTGTAAACGTGAGTGTTATTAAAGTAATTCTGTATTTTATCAATTTTTACGCAAATAAAAGAAAGAGTATGCAGCGATTATATTACACAAATATGGCAAAGGACGCCCAGGTTTTCATATTCTCCAGATGCTGTGTGCTATTTGAATTTTCACTATTCCGTATATCGTAAACAAATAGTGTTTTTAAAATCAGAAATTCGCATAAAAAACAAAACATTCACAATGTTTTTACTATATTTTGACAGCTAAAAAAAAAAAAACACGCGTATAAACACGCAGAATGCTAAATCTGTGACACCACATTCACCGAGTAAACTTAGAGTTGTGTAGTAGTGATTGAGATACAAATCTGTTCAGATGTATATTTGATGGTTACATGTACTCTGAAACCAACTACATAGTTTAACTTAATTGCATAGAAGACACACACACACACACACAAAGACATACACACTTGTTAAACAAGGGATAAACATAATTACTCTGTTATATAGACTGCAAACGGATAATAATCTTATGCTAGCGTTTAAGTAGATTTTTACAGGTAATATTGTAATCATGGCACTATATCGTTTAGCGTTCTCGTAGCATTTAGAATTCTCGTGTACTGTATATGTTTTTCTCTCTGGCACAAAAACATTTTTAATCGGTTTTTATTGTCACCACGTGTCACATAGCTTGTATTGTCACTATGTGCCTTATCCGAAGATCGCTATATCAAAATTTGTGTTTGAATCTTGATACTGCGCTCCAAATGACAATTCATGGTCATTTTTCATCCGTAAATATGATTATTAACGCAGTGCCAAACAAAGTGTGCTGTATGTAGTGATAAAATATGTATATCACAAAAAAAAAAAAAAAACGATAATTTATTTGTATCAATATCAAACATTGTTTTGGCAATGAGAAGCATTGTACTTTATTTCATCGCAAAAATTTATAATGATGATGATGATGATGATGATGATGATGATTATGTAAGACATTTACGGAACGCTGCAGCAGTTGAAAATGGGTAATGGTACTTAACATCGATAAAGTTCCCTGAAAGAGCAGTGGGATTTCTTTTATATCTCCTGATCAAACTCATTCTTTTATCATCTATTGAATTTTCAGTGCAATAAACTATTACACTTTACAAAAATAAAAATAAAAAAAATTTACGAATGCACTAAAATTTTACTGAAGAAGTTATAACAGGACGAAAACTCTGTGTATTTGAGTTTATTCTAGAATTTTTATAATTTATGATTTACAAAAAAAAATTTTTTTATTTCCGCAATCTCTATTGTCATAAACATGTCGACGCTTTTGAAAAGATTTATACACAATATAGTAATATATATAATTATGCGGTAAATTAATGTTTATATTGTAATTAATATTCGAAAAGTAAGCTTCAGAAGCATGTAATAGTTTATATCTAAAGCGTTTGCGCTTTTTGTGTGAAATTTCAAACAAACTTCCATAAATAACTTCTCATTCATGCGCATGTCGCTTGTGTCATAAATATATCCTAACCTAACCTAACCTAAACCTAAACTGATTCAACCAAATCTGACAGTTATAACGTACTCGGCGAGTGTCAACGATCAGCTGATCGCAAAATACAAACTATAATAGACGTTTGTGGTGTAGCAAAATGGAAACTTGATTATGTACATTCTGTATCTCTTTACGTAAATCTCACAAATAATATCACTATCTTCAAATGATAACAACTAACTATTTCGACAATTTATATAGTTCCTCACACTCTTCATTTCAAGTCAAGTAAAATAAATTGAGAACAAAAATGCAGAGAGAAACGAAGTGCGAAAATTTAAACTGATTGAACGGATCTATTTATCGTTTACACTTCAAAACACACAATATCTAACTTATATATAACAAATTAATTAGATACTCTATTATATATAAAATAACGAGCGCTGTGACTTGCGATTTAACCTTGGTGAATCCAAGACTGCTCCGATTCGAACTCATGACCTACCTACCATTTAACTTTAAATTTCACTCTCGTGGAAAATTTTTTGTTAGAGCGAACGTGCTGATGTTTCTGCTCGTGTCAGCATTTGTATTTTTGTGCGTGCATTATCTGTCAGCACGAAAATGTTCACCGGACAAACGAGTTCTGGACAATAAGCCCAAGTACAGACTGATTGTTCTGATCCTTAGCGGTTTGGATAATCTGGAACGTCGAGATATCATTAGGAAGACCTGGCTCGCCGATCATGGCCAGGGAACTACGGCGAAGTACTTCTTCGTTCTCGGTACTCAAGATATTTTACCGGAGCAAAGAAACACTCTGCAATCAGAGAAGGAGAAGTTTGACGATCTAATGCTACTGCCCAGATTACAAGACTCTTATAACACACTGACGAAAAAAGTGCTTTACGCACTCAAAGAAACTTACGAGCGCTACAACTTTGACTACTTGCTGAAGTGCGATGACGATTCTTATGTCTTGGTGCACAGAATTCTGAAGGAATTGGACAGGTGGGAGAGCAAAGGTACTAGAAGAGAATTATACTGGGGCTTCTTCAACGGGCGAGCACAGGTGAAGAGAAGTGGTCCCTGGAAAGAAACAGATTGGATAATGTGTGACTATTATTTGCCTTATGCTCTGGGCGGCGGATACGTCTTGTCCTACAATCTCGTCAAGTTTATTGCCAACAATGCGGACATTCTAAAGTGAGTAACACATGATTGCAAAAATACTCAAGTAACAATGTATTTAGCTTGGATATTTATAGATGTATAAAACAAGAGAGTTATATAGTTTGTTTTCTCGGTCTTCTTTGTGTGTATTTAATCTTTATGAAAAATAAAAAAAAAAGAACACAAACCTTATTCGGTTCGAGTTTTGGAATTATTGATGTTCCAGGCTGTACAATTCGGAAGATGTCTCGGTCGGTCTGTGGTTAGCGTCGTTGGCGAATATCGAGAGAAAACACGACGTACGCTTCGACACGGAGTACAGATCCCGTGGATGTTCCAATCAGTACATAATCACTCATAAGCAGACGATTCAAAGTATGCGAAGTATGCACGAGTATTACCAAGTTTCTGGGGCGCTTTGTCCCAAAGAAATAAGGAATCGTATGAGTTATCAGTACAATTGGACTGCACCACCTAGTCAGTGTTGCAACAGACAATCCGGGATCCCTTAATATCACGGACAGCATATTCTCTAGTCACACTTTTTGATACTCGCTCAATGTTCCAATATCTTGCTTCATTCTGTAAATATAAAAGAACTGTAAGCAGTGCTATATTAAGCCATTAGAACATTCATTTAGGTGCAAACATTTTATTTATATTTACTATAAATTTATGTTTATTTATATATACTATAAATTTATAGTTTTAATATTAAGTCATTATGTTAATTGCGTCCACATAAAAATGTATTCTAAGCAATATTATTGAACAAGAGCAGAAAAGATTTATAGTTCTATAAACTCCTACAATCCTCAATAGATCCTTAATTTGAATTTTATTTGTGGGAACGCTGTTGCAACCGTGAAAACCGCTCGTAAATACATTTTGCAAATACCAGCAATGAATAGACATCTATAAATATGAATACAATGAAATTTTATTGAAACATTTTAGTTATACATAGGATGTACATTTAAAAATGTGAAACATACAAACTGTAGTAATTTTATACCAAGATTAAAACTATAAGAATACAAAATGTTAATGCGTGCGCTAAAAAAAAAAAAAAGGATATAAGAATAGGGAACTAAATTTTCTTTCAATAATGAAATTTTTCCAATTGTTCTCTGTGTTCGTACGCGCAAAAATATTCCACATATACCTTAATACATAATATAAGAATGTTTCAGAATTAGGCAAAATTTTAACAATAGCTTTCTCATTAATATAAATTTAGAAACGAGATTTTAATGCCAAAATGTCGAAGCTGTTTAAATAAATGGATTTATTTTGTCGCAAGAATGACATCTTGGCGCAGAAACAATATATTTGTGTGCTACTACTGTTAATAGATAAATACATTTTGTGTCACATTAGATTTAACAAGTACGAGACAATCTTCGTGACAAGGCTTGTGAGAAAAATCAAAATAAATAACATATATAGATATATGTATATATATATGTATATTAAAAAACTAAAAAAAAAAAACTAAAAAACTAAAAAAAAAAAAAAAAAAAAAAAAAAA